AGTCAGGCTCCCGGACCCCCTCCGCCTAACACCACTAGCCGAAACAGGGGAGGGGGTTAGGTGGTACAGTTCAACAACCCCAACCACCACAACAAAGACGTCGCAGCAGTTCGGGCCTCCCCATCCTCAGACCCGCACTCCACCGAGCACCGCCGCGAGATTCCAATTGCAAACCACCACCCACTGGACGTCCCGCCGGAGAAACGGAAACGAGCAACAGGAAGCTCCAAAAGCCGACTAAACAGAGAAGAGAAGATCTTACCATCTCCAATCGAAGGGCCGCCGGTGTCTGGGAGGAAGCCACCCATCGCCGACAGGAAGCCGACCGCGGGGACGGCATCTCGAGCCTCCAATTCGCAGTCGTCGTTTGATGGCCTACGCAGCAGAACAGCAACAGATTCCGGGGAATAGACGACCAAGGATGGACAAGCGGTCAGGGGCGACCGCTGGCCAGGCCCCGCCGTCGCCGGGGAGGGCTAATCGGCGGCAATTTGAGAGGAGCGGCTGTAGGGTTTGATAAGGGGAAAAATCGCGAGAGGAGCGGCTGGTTTTGTTAGTATTATTTAGCTTTACACAATTTAATCAGAGAAATATCAAAAATTTGCACCCCACTATATTTATTTGATATATGAAGTCCTCGTGTAAATTAATATTAATAAAAGAATAAATAAATTCATAGTATATTGTATTCATTTTCTTTTGTTGTTCTTTACCATTTATTCATATATGATTTTTTAAAGTAAATAAGTCTTTTGAAAAATTGGTGGTCAGCTCCAGGAAACAATAGAAATGTGCACATAAGAACAATTGACCGGTTTTAATTTTTATTTTCTCCGTGTTTTTAAAAGTTCAATTCTTAAATCTATTGATATTAGATGTTCCGGTTTTAATTAATCATAAGTTACTTTATGTAAAATCTATATATATATAATTACTAGCTCAAAACATTTAATAAAACCTATTTAATTTTACCTATGTGGCAATTTAACAATTTTCCCTCCAAAAACCGTTACATTTTGATGTATTTAATCTTTTATTTAATCATTAAATAATTAATACTCATCACTTTAAAATTACAAAAATTATTTTAAACTTTTGATTAATGACAGTTGACCATATAATGTGTTGACCGTATAATGTGATTAGATGTTATTATTGTTGTTACATTTAAATTATTTTTTTTTGAAAATAAAAAATATAATTGAAATTTCTAAATAAATAATAAATAATTCACAAATAAAAGACGTACCAAAATAAACATTACATCCAATTAGATAAACGTAATTTTAAAAAAAATATTCCAACTCTTTTAAGTAAATTTGGTCTGCAAAAAAGTGAAAGAAAAATAATTAATCATTATATGCATGCAGACTCACAATAATTTATTTATATCTGTGTAAATGCACAGGTCGCATACTAGTGCATGTTGAATAGACAAACAATAAAGATAGGGTAAATTGCACCAAACTCTTTGTGTTTAACGAAATATGCGCGTTTCTCCACTATATTTTAAAAAATACACCAAATTCCCTTATATTTACGTAATTGTTGCACGATTAAAAGTTGTACTGTTTGAATTTCGAAAAGATTAATAAAAAATTGCAATTAAGATGAGTTCCATTTTGATCAAAGATACGCACAACAAGAGAGCAGCCAAATTAATGTTACGATAATCACTAATTCACCATCCATGCTCCAATATATTGAATTTCGAAAGGGTAAATAGTATTATTTAAATAAAATTGACATAATCTCTGTCATTGGTGAGAGTTGATCATCTCTGTGTAAAAATACTGACCATAAACAAAGCATAACACAATTGGTTAGACATAATGGATTACCAAAAGTGATGTGTATTCTTAATCCTTATCGTTTTAAAAAGTGAGATGCTATGTGAAATAAAAGGATCATGACACATGTTATTATGGTGAATTTTATGTCATTCCTTATGCTATTCTGTCTATGATCCATAACAAAACTTGAATTTATAAATTGTGACATTNATTTCTCATCTGAAAATATAAGATAGAATGGTGAAAAAACAAAAATAGAGTTAGAAATATGAGATAATTCAAAAATTTGAATGAATATGAAATAAATTTATAATGACGATAGTTGATATGATATTAAATAACAAAATATAATATAATAAAATTAATAATTAAAAATATTTGTGTGGATGAATAACGGTCTTTGATGGATAATATGTAATAATGATCACGTTTTTATTCTTTAACTGTATTTGTGGAGAAAAAATGAGATAAGATAGATAATACTTTTATGATTTTTTTTTAATTTCATTTTCAATTTCAATGAGATAAATTTTAGCTCCATTTATATATGTCTCCAATGGCACCTAATATCTTGTCCTTAACTAAGGTTTGAATCTTAATTTTCTATTTATTTATTGTAAAGTACTCCATAGGAAATGTCTGCCTTAGGCACATTATCTTTACATACACTACAATATAGAAGTGGCAATACAATATAATTCAATTAGCTTTACAAGTTACAACCAACATAAAAGGATGTGTTTGTGCGTGTTAGCATACTTTATATTCTTTTAATCACATCCATCCTTAATGTTTAACCTGCTGTCAACTTTTAGTTAAAAATGTGGTTTACAGTAATTACGTGCTAATGACGGCTTAATTATACGAAGGACCGAATAAGATTCCAACTTGCACCACTACTATAGTAGGCGTGGGATGCTATAAGGGTGTGATTGGATATAAATAAAATCGCTTTTTATTGAATTTATTGGTTAAAGAGAATTAATTATTTATAAAATTGATTGATTTGAATATTTTGTAAGATTTTGAATTTGTTATATAATAATATGTAAAATGTAACGATTACAGTTGATGTGATGTAAAAGTAAGAGAGATTATTTTAAAAATAATATGTAGTTAAAAATATGTAAGTGGATGAATAATTAATTAAATTTGATGTGGTGTATGAGGATAATTAATTAGTATTATTTAGTTATATTGTAATAATGATTAGAACTCAACTAGATTAAATTTGAGTTGAATTTTAAGTTAAAGAGCGTCAAAAAAATTATCTAATCAATTTAATTGATTATATTTTGTAGCCAATCACGCCCTTGATTAACTTAATCCAATTGGATGTGTAAAATTATTAGTCACATCATCGTACGAAAATTGCTTCTCTTAGCATCGAGTCTACATGATATTAGAATAGAGTAATTACATGAATATCATCTATTAGAAGAGCATCTTTATAAAAGGTCTTCAACATGTTGAAGAGGTTTAAGGTTTGTATTTGCAAATCAAGGTTGAAAGACCTCATGTGGGGCAATTAAAAGTGAATAAATTTAGTTCATATTGTTATTCAATATATAAAAGTATGATATTAAAATAGATTAAGTGAAAAACATGTATGGCCCATTAAAAAAGAAGTTTATGATTATTTGAGGTTTTTAGTTATAGGAATACATAANCATCGGAAAAAAAAAAAAAAAATGAAGTTTGTGAATATTTATTATTAGAGATGTCCTGAGTTAAGAGTTATATGTTGGTGAAAATAAGGTATTTACACAGATAATAACGTACATCAACAACACATAATAGAAATAAATATTTTGTATATAAATTGTGTACACCAAAGTATTCATAATATTATATCTTTAATAAATATTTACCATATAAAAATTCATAAATAGTTTCAAAAAAATAAATAAAATATATATTTTATTTAAAAAAATAAAATAAAATATAAGGACCGGGTCAATTGGGTTGACCCGACGTGCCGATGTCCGGATCAACCGAGTAAAGACCGGGTTTGACTGGGTCCGAAGTCACTCGGTCTGAAGCACCCACCTAGACTGGTTCCGACTCCAGGTCGACCCGCCGGCTAGTCCTAGTTAAAAAACTTTGACTTAAAGAAATGATTCTCTATTTTTTGCATAAATTATTTATCTGTATGATTATCGTAAGGTATACGTAACGGTTAGACAACCATATTTGTTCTACATATGTACACAATTTCGAATTAAAATGTCATGATCTGAAAAACAACATAAATAAAAGTATAAAATTTCATACTACAATATTTTTATTAAAATGATATGACTAATTTACTAGTCTAACAATTAAAACACTTCATACAAGTATTTGTAATTTTTTTAGTAATCTTATAATTCCATGATTTTGATGTTTTGGATGGAGATCAGATTTGGATTTTGGATAGCCCATTGACGTCAAAACAAGACAATATTTTTTATTTTTTTTTTAAAGTAATTCTAACCTATTCAGTCTCCACCTCCAATTCCCATGTTCCATGTTGTTCAACTTACGTCCACCACAAAACTACATAAAATTATTTAATTCTTGTAGTTTGGAATTTGGAATAAAACAAAATCCATATGAATATACCCACAAGGGCATAAAGGTAATTTTATCCCATCCACAAGTTCCAGGAAAGGCATTGGAGCATCCTTTGCAAACACCTTTCCACGTAGACGGAGGCTGGCATAATTTGGTTTCTCCCAGAATATTCCTCATATCACCACATAATTACACAAATACCACTATCTATCAAACCCCAATCTCCACCGCCCGATCACCCACCGTCACAAAAAGTTAACCCAATCAACGGTTGATATTAATTACCCGAAAATCCGACCTAATCGACATTTTCGAATGGCCCTTCTTTGAACTTACCACTATCTATCTGTACTAAGGTAATATTCCTTTGGCATCTTCAAAAAATACACCCAACAAAATGTGTGTACTAATAAACAGTGCCCTCTTAGGAAGAGGCATAGTTCTTTTTAATCACTAATTCCCTATATATAAATAAGCGTAGCCAATCTCATTTTACACAAACTTGTGTACTAATAACACATCTTATAGAGAGCCATCACAAAAAGAAAAAAAGAATATATATNTTTTTTTAATTTAACTTGGTGACATTATTGATATAAAACAATATGTTAGTTTTTTTTAATGTTGATTAGGGTCATTTAATTTATTTTTTTTTAATAAATCACAGGATAGGATGATGAAAGAGCTGCATGAACAGGGGAAAAGCATTGAAGAAATTAAGGAGGTCTTGAGAAGGGTTCCAATTCATCCCAGGATTATTCCGGCCATCGAAAAGGCCCATGCTTTAGGGTAATTTTTTTTTTTACCTTTTTATGATTTTTTTTTTCTTTTCGGAAAATTTGACCCATTTTTTTTATAGCTAATTTATTATTTTATTTATATTTTTCAGGTGTGATTTGAGAATATTGAGTGATGCAAATATGTTTTTCATCGAGACAATTATTGAGCATTTGGGAATTAAACACTGCTTTTCTGAAATCAACACGAACCCAAGCCAAGTTGATGAGAAAGGCTGCCTGAGAATTTCCCCCTTTGTTGATTTTCGGGCAGGTTCCCATGGCTGCCCGCGCTGCCCGCCCAACATGTGCAAGGTACTTAAATTTTATTTTTTTTATTATATATATATATCTTTTTTTTTTTGGAAATTTCCTGTTTGTTTGATTGTTCCGTGATTTACTGTTAAGCAGCAGAATTTTTGTTAGTGATTATCTTGGAATATGAGTATGGCCCTTTCTGTCCCATAATTAATAATTGATTGATTAATTAATTTCTCATAGTATTGATCCCACTAAATCAAAAAATTCATATAAAGATGGCCAACATTAAATTTAGCCAGCACAACTGATTTAGTCTAATTATTACAAAATATTCCAATTTAATTATCCAAGACCAATTTTATTGGCAACAACTTCATAAGAATGTCACAGTTTAGGTGGTATTCAATATTCATGTCACACATTTGAACTAAACCTTGTTAATTAATTAACATTTTTATTTTTTCATGCATGAAGGGTATGGTTATAGAGAAAATGCAAGCTTCAATAGCTAAGGAAGGTAGCAAAAGGATGATATATTTGGGCGATGGTGCGGGTGATTTTTGCCCGAGCTTGAAGCTAAGAGAAACCGATTTCATGATGCCGAGAAAAGATTTTCCCGTGTGGGAATTGATATGCGAAAACCTAGAGGTTTTGAGAGCCGAAGTGCACGAATGGGCTAACGGTGAAGATATGGAGATAATTTTGCTTCAGCTTATTGAGAAGACTAAGATTGAAGAAAACAACAGCTTTAACTCGGTTCAAATGCTATCGGTTGATTGCAAGCTTGAGACTGTAATTCCAATGGCAGCTTATGAGGCTCCATCAGTAGAATATGTAGTAGTTTAAGGTTGATTTTTATTGGTTTTTTTTTTTTCATGAAATGGAGTGTATTTGTGCTTTCTTNGTTTTTTTTTTTTCTTTCTTTCTTTTTTAGCCTTTTAGGACTTGTGTTTGTAAAGTTGAACTAAAAAATTCTCTCGCATTTGATACCATACTGATATGGAATACTATAACGGTCAATTGGACCAATGAAATCAAGCAGCTAGACCGGATAAAAGGGCAGACCGAGTTGCAGTCAGAGATCGACATGAATGCAATGATCGGGCCAGTGACGATCTTCTGACAGGAGACGTCAGCTACAAGGTGAGCTTAGGGTAAGCGCGACCTGAAGGAGCATGAAGTCAAATCGACCTCATGGACAATAGAAGAGATGGGGAAGAAGATGTTCTACCTAATGAGTGTTCGACGTCAACCTGGTCTTACTTCAAGACAAGAAGATATCTAACTCGAGAACAACGTCGTATGAGGATTGGACCACGTGTCGCGACGAGGTTGGTCGCCTGCACACCTAACAAGCCTGACAGTCTGAGACATTGCAAGTCGTACGAACGAGTAGCTCGGGCAATAGGGTCAACTCTCTGGGCTGACTTGGAGAGCAAGATACCACACCCCTAGATAAAGGGGCGTGATAGGTTAGTTTTCATTTTACATTCTCTCCACATTTTTATATATTCAGTTATTATTCACCTTCTCCAAGCTTACATTGACTTAGCCATCGAAGGTTCTTCGCCGGAAAACCTCCCTTCTGGTGTCGAGTTATTGTAGGTTTGGAGGTCGCCCGAAGTAGAAGGAAACCAATCCAGTTCCATTAACTCAAGTGAAGAACGAGTGAAGTCCATTTCACCACTACATATAATAAGCTCACGATTTAGAGTGATTGGATATAAGTCATTGTGATTTTGATTTGATTTGTTGGATAATCTAGTTAATTATGAAAAAGTTGATTAGAGTTAATTTTTGAAAAAAGTTGATTGGGTTAGCTTGAATGAGATTATGAGTTTGATGAGTAGTTAAAATCATGTGAGTGAATTTAAAGTTATGAGAATTGATAAATAGTAAATTAATGTTGATATGATGTCTGAGAAAAATTAATTGTTATTATTTAATTATGTTGATAATATTAAGGAGAGTTGTATTGATTTAAAATTGAGTTATATACTGAATTAAAAATATTAGAGAAATTTACACCCTATACTATCAAATATATTTTATATTACACATTTACACCTAATTGATATTTATTTGCAAAGATACAAAATCACCCTAAAATAATTGCACATATACTATAATTCAAACTTAAGTCAACTTATCCTTTAATTAGGGAAAGAGACGGATTTAATGGGATTTAATACCTTAACTTTCTTCTATTCCCTTTTATTTTCAGAATCTTGTACCCAAACCCCTCATTCTCTCCTCCGCCTCCTCATTAATCCCCAACCTTCAGCTCATACTAATTCCTAACCTTAGATCATTTTTCCCCAATTTTCAGTCTCGAAAGCCAACCACGCTCACCATTCGCAATTCCGCCCGCACCGTTAACCCGGATTTGTCGGTATCCGCGCCCGAACCCGATGGTTCTGGACCATCCGCCTCGACCCGGGGCGACATCTTTCTTCAGCACCAGCAGGAAGAAGAAAGAAGAAGAAGATTTGAGATGAGAGGCGTGTTTGGGATGAGAAGGAAGAAGATTGAATTAATCGGGTATATGTTATGTATATATAGGGTATATGTTCTGTATAATATAAGGGCTACCTTATTTGTATGTGTGGTTTATATTGACAAAGCATAAACTGATGATTTTTTTTTTATATGTATGATTTATACTCGGTATATTTTCAGTATTTTTTCTCATGACATTAATAGGAAGACGTTCGATAGTATGTAAAAGTTAAAAATTTTCGGTATATTATCAATATCTTTTCGGTATATTTTCTCATGGCATTAACAGGAAGATGTTCGACGGTATATTATCAGTATATTCTCGGTATATTTTCTCATGACATTAACAGGAAGACGTTCGACGGGTATATATGTACAGTATATTTGCAGTATATTTGTTTGTATATGGAATATAAGTAACTGCTATAATATGTTTATATATACTTTTATGTCTAAAAGTAAAAAAAATAAAAAATAAATAAAGAAGACATAATTTTTTGATGGACGACATGTTCTTCATTGTAACATATACTGAATATATACCAACATAAACGCAAAATATACCACCTG